TTATTATTATTATTATTATTATTATTATTATTATTATTATTATTATTATTATTATTATTATTATTATTATGACTATCATTATAAAGAAAGCTGTAAAATTCTATCAATTAGAGAAAACTAATATATTCTGTCAGGTGCACTTGTAGATAACTAGTCATTTTTCCGTTGTAGAAAGCTGGCAATTTCTACCAGTTGCAGTGGGTTAATAATTACTGTCAGTTCTTGAAAGTTAATGCTTCCTGACCGTTGTAGAAAGTTAGTGGCTCCTTATCTATTATATATTTGGAAACTTGGAAACTACGACAGCTACAGAGTTGAAAGTTGGCAAGTACCAGCAAAAAGATAGATAGGTCCCCATGACAGAGCCCGATTTTTTATTTATTCATTTCCTGAATTTAGAAAAATATATTTGACAAAAAGTTCCCGTCCTTCTGTGGCCTTTGTGATTATTCTACTGAGAAACGAAACAAATCTGCGTTGTAGTTCTCCTTCACAACGGAAGTTCAATACCGCTTTTTAACGTTCGCCTGAGAAACACGATTTAAGAGACGTGTGAGTAATTTTCGAGACTCACCTGTAGTACGAGGAGACGTGATCCTGTGTATGCATCCAAAGAGTTGTTTTTAATATTGGAGAAAAACTTTATTTTTACTGGGTCAAGATTTTTTGAAAAAATATTAATGTTTGGTCGCTGGCCTATAGAAGTGCCATGCAACGTTTCGTGGGCATAGCCTAGGTAAATTTGTCAATGAGCTAGAATTTTTTTACGCTCTCAGAGGAAAGTGAACAAGCTATAGACACTGCCTCTGTGATTTTGAAGACGTCGGTGTGTTCCTTTTACAGTGTAGCAGCCCTTTCGTGGATTATTATTTTCTTAGTGCTTTTCTGACATGGTGTAAGGCAAAACCCGCAATTTATGATTTTGAAGGGCTAGACAGCAATACCCCAAAGCAATGTAGATCAATAGAGGAGATATTCAAGGCAGACCTAATCTACAGCAATATAGGTCTAGAAGCCAGGTGCTACTGTGAAAGGCTAGACAGCAATGCAGAATGATGTAAAATGCCTCCCCGGCTTAGACCAGAATAGGCGAATAACTTTAGCTGTGCATTTCACAATGGGGGTAAAAATGCAACAAAGACGATTTTGATGTCATTAGAACCAGAAAACCTTCCTCTATAACATGCTCAAAATCGGCAAGAAGGAGGAAATTTGTTTAAAATCCCGTTTAATGGTATAGTTTCGAAATAGTCATTTATCGATACCAAACTATTTCAGAATCGCACGCCATATCTCACATCACATTAATCTTACACACTGCACGGACTCAGTTCCTTAGAACTTATGTTTCTTTTCCTAACTGGAGAACTGGAATGGAAATGACATTTTTCAAAGATTTTTGATTGTCACTATTTTTGTGTTATCAGGTAACGTTTATGTGTTTTACTCTATAGGTTTTATGTCATGC